GGGGGGAGACTAAAGTTTTTAAAAAAGGGACCCTGACAGCAGTTTTTAAGCAAAAAAAAAAAAAAAAATCAGCATAGCCCCTTTAACAGGCAGCTTTTTTGCTGGCAGCCATTTTGTTTTTCTGTTACAGCCACAAGACAAGCCCCTGCGGAACCAGGTAAGCGGGGGGATGGAGAGGCGTCCAGGGCGCATCTGGTTGGGAGGTGCTTACTTAGGTGGCTCCCAGCCAGCGGCCCTGCAGGAACTGGAACAGGCTGTGTGCTGAAGCTCCAGGCTGGTCGGCCGGCTGATCCATGTCGCTCTGCTCCAAACATTGAGGGGGATGGCTGCCCAGGGGCGGGGGGAGGAGGGGAAGTAGAAAGTAGGCTTCACATCTTGCTCCTGCTCCCAGCAAAATTTCACTGCGCCTATTGACCAGAAACTGGCCAATGGGAGCTGAGAAATTTTGCTGGAGGGATGGGGGGAGCATGTAAAGCCTTCTTCCTCCCTCCGCAGACTCCAGAGCAGAGAGCAGAGAGCAGCCAGCCAGCCTTTAAAGTGGTTCCAACTGCTCTGTGCCTAAGGGTCCCAGCTAGGCAACTGTACGCTTGATCCGATGGCTTGGTGACTGCTGACTGGCTCTTGACGACTCTAAGCTCAGAACTACCCAGGAACCCACTGTAATTCAAATCCAATGAAAATTACATCATTCTACATTATCTATTCTTAATAGATAGTCTTGTGGCACCTTAGAAATTAACAAAAATATAATTATTGTTTTTAAAGTTACAGACTAACACTATTACCCCTCTGAGACTCTCAATGGAATTATTTTTTCTGAAAATATGTATATGATTGTATAGGGCAGTTCATATAGTCAAGATCCAGCATTTCTCCTGTAATACAAGTCACCTTAAACTTAGAAATTATTTTAAAAAAGTGGCTTTGAAAACAAATCTTGCCAATAAAATGGGGAATGTAAAAATAATTTGCAATACTCCCTCCTTACTTCTCCTTTGTCCCCTAAAACTCTATATAGACTCTACAGTTTTTCCCCAGCACTCATTATTGCAGGCCAGACCTGAAGCTTTTTTTCTTCCCTACTTTTAACACCCTACTATAAAATTGTGATCCAACCAAAAGATCTAAATCCATGGAGTCATATTGATGTAGGAAACTATCAAGTGCACTCTTTTGAAGCACCGGGCGACTAAAACAGAGAATACAGCACAGAATACAGAGGAGTCCTGAGCTCTATTCCCAGATTGACCTGGGACTTGAGCCTACAAACATCCATGCGTGTGTTTAACTTTAAATATGTAAGCAGTTGCAATGAACTCAGTGGGAATACTCCCGTCCTTAGAATTAAGAGTGTGTGTAAAAGTGTCTGCAAGACTGTAGCCTTGCTGAGTGATCTTGTTGGACACAACTTTGCCTCTCAAATTCTCTGTTACTTGGGCTATGTCTAGACTGCAAGCCTCTTTCGAAAGATACTTTTGAAAGAGCCTATTTCGAAAGAGAGCGTCTAGACTGCACGCGGAACTTTCGAAAGAGCAAGCCGCTTTTTCGAAAGAAAGCACCCAGTGAGTCTGGATGCTCTCTTTCGAAGAAGCCCTATTTACATTCAAGAACGCCTTCTTTCGAAAGAAGCACTTTCGAAAGAAGGCGTTCTTCCTCGTGAAATGAGGTTTACCGCCCTCGAAAGAAAAGCCGCGTTCTTTCGATTTAATTTCGAAAGAACGCGGCTGCAGTCTAGACGCAGGTGAAGTTTTTTCGGAAAAAGGCTACTTTTCCCGAAAAAAACCCTGAGTCTGGACACAGCCAAAGAGTGGTATTACTTTCCTTCTGTGTTAAACTCTTGTCTTTCAGATTTTAAAGAGCACTACACAAACAAGCCTCGGCTGGATCCCACAAACACTTCGACGTGCTCAGCTTTACTTCCAGTGCTTCCAACAGAGATCAATAGGGACACATTGGCTACATCTAGACTGGCATGATTTTCCGGAAATGCTTTTAACGGAAAAGTTTTCCGTTAAAAGCATTTTCGGAAAAGAGCGTCTAGATTGGCATGGACACTTTCCCGCAAAATCACTTTTTGCGGAAAAGCGTCCGTGGCCAATCTAGACGCGCTTTTACACAAAAAAGCCCCGATCGCCATTTTCGCGATCGGGGCTTTTTTGCGGAAAACAAATCTGAGCTGTCTACACAGGCCCTTTTGCGCAAAAGTTTTGTGCAAAAGGGATTTTTGCCTGAACGGGAGCAGCATAGTATTTCCGCAACAAGCACTGATTTCTTACAGTAGGAAGTCAGTGCTTTTGCGGAAATTCAAGCCGCCAGTGTAGACAGCTGGCAAGTGTTTCCAGAAAAGCAGCTGATTTTTCCGGAAAAACTGGCCAGTCTAGACACAGCCACTGAGGGGAGTCAAGCCCACGTGTTTCAACTGGGGCTAGTGCACCAGGATTAAGGCAGCCCATGGCCGAGCCCTAAGGGAATCCAGTCACATTTTGCAGGGTCAGGCTGACTCCCCTGAGTCGGAAGCCGCGCAGCTGAAAGCGGGGTTGGGGGGCGGTGCCCAGGGTGGGAGCCGCGGCTCCATTCCAACACCCCGGCCGAGGGGCCAGCGGCCCCCTCCCGGCCCGGCCCCTACCTCGCAGCTCGTCGAACTTCGCCAGTCTCCGCCGAGTGGCCTGTTGGAGACGGATATCGAGCTCTTCCTCCGTAGGCATCGCGGCGGCGCGGCCCCCGCCCCCCCGCGCTCCCCTGCCCGGAGGCGGGGAGCAACGGGCGTCTCTCGGGCCGGTCCCCATGGTAACCGCCAGGCAAACAAGGCCGCAGCTCCCAGCCGAACATCTCGGTGTTCGCGGCCGGCTGGGAGCGGGCGTTGCCGGAAGCAGGTGGGTAGAGCGTGCGCCCGGCCGCGGGGCTCAACCTTGGGGTCTCTAGCCGGCGGGGACCGAGGCAGACCAGGCCAGGCCGGGACTGAACGCCGGGGAACCAGAGGCGCCTGGGTCGCGCCCGGCTGGGGGGGCTGAACCCACCCCGGGGGGTCTCCGACAGACACGAATGAATGAAGATTTAAAGCGGGGTCCTGGTGGTCGCTGAGGGCTGCCCAGCTTGGCTGGTAATTGCGCAGCGCCGAGTTGGGGGCAATGCAAAGTCATTTCACCCTGCCTGCAGAAGTGTGGCCGAGACTGGCAAGCGACCGCGCAACCCCAAAGGTGTCTTGGCGTTGTTTTGGAAGAGCTGAAACAAAATACAGGACAATGTAGCACTTTAAAGACTAACAAGATGGTTTATTAGATGATGAGCTTTCGTGGGCCAGACCCACTAGTGATCTGAGGAAGTGGGTCTGGCCCACGAAAATTCATCATCTAATAAACCATCTTGTTAGTCTTTAAAGTGTTAGTCTTTAAAGTGCCTGTAAAGTGCTACATAGTCCTGTATTTTGTTTCAGCTACACCAGACTAACACGGCTCCATTTCTATCACATTTGGAAGAGCGAGTTTGTTAAACTCCATTCCCTGGCTGTATTCCCGCTTGAGTGGTTCTGGCATTGGTCCCTGAGTGCCCATCTTCACCTTTCAGTAGCTGTGCGGTTCCTCACTTTCTCGCTCAAGCTGCAGTCCGCTGGCCCAGAAGTGGCTGCATGTCAGTAGTGCAAAAAGTAATCCGTGTGTCTTGCTTTAAGTTTCTTAACACTTTGTTATAAAATGTGATATGGTTTCTGATGCACCAAGCAATTTACCTCTAATTGGGCATCATTCGGGCTCTGTATATTCAAGTGTGTTTGTTTCTGTCTGGTCAATCTGTAGCTGTTTGTTTATAAATTAAACACTTATTAAAAATAAAGTATTTGTGAAAGATCAAAAAATAATCATGAGACCCAAATGTGTGACATTCATTTCTGGCCTGTAAATACGTCATGAAGATTCAAAATAAGGTAGATGACCAAACATAATGAAGGCTTAAAACATTTCTGTAAGCTATTTTAGTTTAAAAAACTTGCACCTGTGAAGTCAGTTTATGAAGTGTGAGAAAACAGTAGGTTTCTGTGGATCAAAAGAGGTAAAGCTCCAGCAATAAACAAGTGACACATCTAGGTATGGTGTAATTTAATAGTGAGAGCAAGCAATTGGGAACAAAGGCTACATAGTTGAACCTCTCTAGTCTAACACCTTGGGACCTGACCACTACCTAGAATTTGTTGAACTGCAGGAGATCAATATTGTCTAGCAGCATTACCAACACTTTCACTGTTTATTGGGCTCTTAGAAGACAATTAAGGGTAAATTAGAGCTAAATAACAGCACAGAACATTGAGAGCCTGGACTGCTGGCTGTAAACAAATGTTATATTACTGTGGAAAACTTGGCTGTACCCAGGATAAATAGACATCCAGATAACTAAAATTATGCTAGACCTTAGATGTTGTCAGACCAGAAAGTGCTGGACTAAAGAGGTTCAACCTGTAGCCTCAATTCTGCTATTGACTCATTTTATATATTTATGTGTGGACAAGTTACTGAACTCCACTTTATCTCCATGTTCTCATTCTTAAAATAGTCCCGATGGTGTGCCAGACAGGAAACATCATCTTTGGCACCATTTCCCTGCAGTTCTTAAATGTTTGAATAATTTATACCTGGGTTGCTTGCCCCAAATCCTGCCTTGTTTATGGGTCTGATTTTGCTCCTACCTGTTTGGTTTTCCTAGGACCAATTTATTTATATATCATCTATTTATCTGTTCAAAAGAAATGTGTAAGTCTTCCCAGGACATTACAACTTCTGGGTTTTGTCAGTGGCTGTAGCAGGGGAGCCTTATGGGCAGTGGTTCCTGTACAGAGAGAGTTGTCTGGAAGCCACAGTGACAGGATGGCTCATGTATAGTGAGTGGGCATAGGGGCTCAGGACTGGCAGTACCCAGTCATTATTATCAGGCAAGTATCAAGTGTGAGGGTCATTGCAGGGTGAATGAGGCTGGCGCCACTGCAAGCTTGAGAGGGTCGGTGCCTGTAGGAGCCCACAGGTGGTGGTTCCATCTCCTGGGAGTTGAGATGGGGAGACAGTATTCTGGATGTGGGGAAGGTAGTACCCAAGGGTATATATGTGGGGAAGGGGAGCAGGTAGATGTCCAACAGTAGTAGAAACCTTATTCTCCATATAAATCAGTGGCAAAACACCCATGTACTTCAATAGGGCAGAATTAAGTGCTCTATATGTCTACACTATGGGATAAAGTAAAATTAAGATACGCAATTTCAGCTATGTTAATTGCATAGCTGAAGTCAAAGTACCTTAACTCGACTTTTGGTGCTGTCCACACTGCAAGAAGTTGAAGGGAGCACACTATCCCTTCAGCGTCCCTTACTCCTCATGGAAGCAGGACCTCCAGCATTGACCGGAGTGCCCCTCTCAGTTCAAATTACCCTGTCTTCACTAGACCGCTAATTTGAACCCTGGAAGATCAACAGCAGCAGCTTCAATCTTCTCTGTAGTGTAGACATACCCTATGAGGCCTAATTATAAAAGACTGTGAAGTGCTGTCATCTTTGACTGAGAAGAAATGGTAACTTATTAAAAAAGGTACACTGAGAAGTATAGTAATAGATGCTATGTTAAAGTAGCATGGTATCTTTCAATTATCTGATTAGAAATAGTTTATAATATTCAGATGCATCTCAGTATTTTGGCCCAGTCTTACAACTGGATTCATGCAGATGCACTTGAGGTTTCACATGGACACACAAAGTCTACCCAAGTTGCTCAGGGCCCTTGTTTTCTGTTTTTACTAGCTGAATTTCAAGAACAACACGAGTAGACTACATGGTTCTCTTTCTGATTCACACTGATAGGAAAACTTGGAATTTACTAAAATGTGTTTGTACTGTGTTGTATCACTTATTTTCCCTTTGTTATTTATTGAAAGAGAAAGTGTTGTTTCTTTTTGTATGTTCTAGTGTCTAAAGATGTCACCAGTGATAAAAAAAATTACAATGTTTATATAATTTAATTAAAAACATATGAGGAAAAACAACAACCTGTACATTAAAACCATAAGCATTCCTCAATGAAGTTTTGTGACTGCTCAGATTAAAGCTTTGAATAATATTGTTAAACAATTTGTATATAATCATGGGCGTGTGATCTGTAAGGCAAAACAAGGCATAGCTTACCAAAAGCTGGGGCTTTGCTGGCACCACCCTTCCACACCTCCATCTGCCAGGTGGGGTTGCTGTGGAATGTTGTTTGTATGGTTCAGGCAGGTTCCAGGGCTCCTGGGAAGGCAAAGAAGAGGGGAGCCTCCTCAGCAGCCTGTCCCTGAACCCGCATGGGACAGACACCAGGCTCCAATTACAGTCATCTGGTTTCTCTCTGCTACTGCAGCAGCCTCAATTCCATTAATCTCACCAGCTCCAGGAGGATTGCTAGCCCTCTGCAGGCTGCCCTACCTAGCTTGCTATGTTCCTGCTGCTGCCACCTCTTCTGTTTGCCAGTTTCTGCTCCTGCTTAGCCTCTCACCCCATTCAGCCTCCCCTCCCTGCATCTTGACCCAGGGTGGGTTGGGTTTCCACTTTGCTGCCCCCCCTTCTCCTTTGCACTCTCCCTGCTTAGTTGGCTTCCCCCTTGCTAGTGTGTGGAGTGGTGGTGGGGATTGTCTAGCTCCTGCAGTGATAGCTGCCCAATCCCCTCCCCTTCTTGCCCTCTCCCCCCATGCTTTCTATTTTCCGTCCTCTGCAGTGGATGGGGGTGGGTGGAAATGAGAGAAGTGGGGGGAAGAGGCGGTGGGGAAGGAATGAGGAGAGGGATGGAGAAGGAAAGGGGATGATGAATTGGGGAGATGAGGAGCAGCAAGAGTCTAGCATGCAGTGTCCCCTCAACACCAGCTGGGGCTGGCTCCCTGGTTAAGCAGTCCCATCGAACCCTCATCCTGACAAGCCCTATCTCCTAAACCTGAACTCATCCAACAAGCTCCCCAGACCCTCAGCCCACTGAGCTCCAGCAAGTTGCACCTCGGCCCCCTATCCTATGAAATTAAGTCTCACTTCCTCAGCACCTGGACTCCACATCAAACTCCCCTCCCCTCAACTCCTCCGCTGAGCTGAACTAGAGTCCCATTGCTCCTACTCCAAAACACCCCGCTGAGCTCCTGAGCATCCATAGCTCCCATTAAGCTTCCCACATCTGGATTCCCCCACAATAACCCTCTCCACCCTTAGCTCATGCTGGGCTGAGCCTGCCCAGACACACCTGGTATGCCTGGCACAGAGGGGCAGGACTATCCCTTACACTGTGTTAGGGATGGGTGCAGCCTCACTGTGGAATTCCTATACTGGGGGAAGCTGGGGATTCAAATGATCTCCCCACCTCATTGCAGCCAGTGGCCTGTGCTCCCCTCTGCTAGAAATGTGAAGATGAGGGGTTTTCTCAATGCCTTCCTGTCACAGACTTCCAGTAGAACATGGGACCCACCGTTTGAAGCTTGGCCTCAAGGAGAGTTTTTCCACTGATTAAAGAAACCAAACTAATAGTGGATAAGGATGGGGTGGCAAGGATGAGAGGAGTTATTGGTAGGATAGGTCCCAACTCTTTTCAGTGATTGGGAGATTAATTTGTCTGGTGAGAAAAGGGCTGAGGATTTGCTTCCTTCACCCCTGGAGATATTGGGTCTACTAGTCTGATATTTAAAGCTGGCACCATCATGTTGCCTGAATGGGACATTTTACCTTTTTGGTTCTAAAGTTTCAGAGGGGTAGCCAAGTCAGTCTGTAACAGGAAAAACTTAAAAAACAACAAATAGTCTAGTAGCACCTTAAAGACTAATAGTTACAAGGGGCTGATAAGAACCATTAGTTTGCACTAGGAAAGGAAGAGTACTAACACCAGATTCTACACAGACATCAAGAACTATTATCACCTTCTTTGGTTGGTTGGTTGATAATGTGCGAGCCATCTGATAATTTTAGAGCATTTGCATGAGAGTTAAACTTGAGAATGAAGTGGAGTTCCAATCCTTCTCTGTGTATTTGGCTTGTGGAATTGGTCTGAAACAAAACAGCAACTTGGAGAACCCTTAATGAATGTCCAGGGAGGATAAAGTGTTCCTCAACAGGTTTTTGTGTGTTGCCTTTTCGGATATGTGATTTGTGTCCATTAATTCTTTTCCGTAGGGACTGTCCTATCGGTTTGTCCAATATATATCGCAGTGGGGCACTGCTGGCATTTGATAGCATATATCATATTACTGGATGTACAGTTAAATGAGCCTCTGATTTGGTGGCTGATGTGGTTGGGTCCAGTGATGAAATCGCTTGTATAGATGTGTGGATAGAGTTGGCACCGGGGTTGATTGCAGGGGTTGATTCCTGGATGTTTATGATGTAGCTGTGTAGAGTGGTTACCGGAAGGGATTTGTTTCAGATTACGGAGTTGTCTGTAAGTAAGAATAGGCCTTTCCCCCAAGGCCTCTGAGAGTGAGGGGTCATTTCCCAAGATAGGTTGTAGATTGTGGATAATGCTTTGGAGGGGTTTAAGTTGTGGATTGTAGGTAATTACAAGTGGAATTTTGTTGTTTTCTCTTTTAGGTCTGTCTTGAAGTAGTTCACGTCTGGGTACTTTTTTGGCTCTGTCAGTCTGATTTTTCACTTCACCAGGTGGGTATTCAGTTTTGAAAACTAATGGTTCTTATCAGTCTCTTTCAACTATTTAGTCTTTAAAGTGTTAAACAACTGTTTGTTGTTTTTTAAGTTTTTCCTGTCACAGACTGGCTCCGCTATCTCTTTGAAACTTATCTACCCAGTGTCTCCTCCTCCCCCCCTTCCCTTATTTGTTCTTTGTTCTGGACTTCCAACACTGGTCATCTGAAGAAGTGGGTTATGCCTACGAAAGCTCATGATACCATCTACATGTTTTGTTAGTCTTTAAAGTGCTACCAGAGTATTTGTTGTTTTTTTAAGTTTTTTCTTCTTGGTTCTGTGAGCTGAATGGGTTAAAGTAGCAGGCAGCCTGGGTATTTTATTGGCAAGTCATTTGGCAGTTTTTACTCATTGTCTGAGGTGCTTACTGCTGTTCAAACAATAACTTAAGAAGCCCTCACTTGTTTGTGTGAAGTGAAAATGAGGTGGTAACTTTTTCAGTCCCCTTGTAGTCATCTTCTTCATCTCAGGGGGCAAATGCCAGCTCAGGGCGAGACCTGACACCTTGTTTGATTGTGTGAAGAAAGGTTAGAGATTTCCCAGAAAAGCTCATGATACCATATACATGTTTTGTTAGTCTTTTAAGGTGCTACTAGTCTATTTATTGTTTTTTAAGTTTTTTCTGTTACAAACTACCTCAGCTACACCTCTAGAGATTCAGGAAGTTGAAGGCTGCTATCAAATGCCCCCTCATTCTTCTCTTCTGCAGACTAAATAAGCCCAAATTCCTCAGCCTCTCCCTGTAGATCATTTTGGTTGCCCTCCGCTGGACCCTCTCCAATGTGTCCACACACTGCCCCATGGATTTTAAAAATCCTAGCTTCACTGGAGCCGCTGTCACAGCCACACGCTTTTCCCTTCAGGCGCTGGGGCGCATGTACAGAGTAGCCGTGAGCAGTCCGGGCGCGCAGCTCCAAACAAGCTGTAACCCTAAGAACTGCATTTCTTTGAGCAGAGCCGTGGGTTGGCCACCCCGGCCTACTTTTTCTAAAACTCTCTTTGTTGAGAAAGAAATTGCAGAAAAGTGGAGGTTTTTTTTAAAAAATAATTTGTTTGGGTTCAGGGATTTGGCTGGAAGGGGACAAGCACACAGTGAGTAGGGACACAGGATGTGCAGGAAAGAGAGAAGGGAAACAGTGTGAAGGGGGTGGGGCCTAGGCTGGGAAGAGGGCAGGGCCTAACCTGAGAAATTACTGCCTCCCCAAGTGGAAGCTTTACCAACCGCCCAGGTATATAATGACAGTGCAAACAAAAATTACTAATTTTTGTTTTAAAAAAAACCCTTTCCTTCTAGTTTTATTAAGGGCCCCCTCTTTGTAGGAATGTATAAATGTATTTTCTGTGCGTTGGCTCAACTACAAAGGCTGGGGTATGTCTACACTCAAATAGTTACAGATGTGCAGCTGTTTACTTAGCTCAGGGTGGGGAACCTCAGGCCCGGGGGCCGGATGTGGCCCCTGGCTTGCCTGGATCTGGCCCCTTAGGCTCAGTCCCTGCCCCCAGCATTAGGGAGCACCTGCTGAAACTCCAGCCTCCTCGCTGTCCCACAAAATCTGGAGCACACAAAATCTACTAGGCTGAGCCCTCCCCCAGGTTCTGCTTCGCTGTAGCACTTCAGGGTAGATGCTTCCTACACTGGTAGGAGGAGTTCTCCCATTTGTGTAGGGCAGTGGTCTCCAACCTTTTTACACCCAAGATCACTTTTAAAATCTCTGAACAGGCAAAGATCTACCGCCCCGCCCCTTTCTTGAAGCCCCACCCTCTCTATTCACCTCCTGTCCATCATTTGCTATCTCCAGCCCTTACTTACACACTCTGATAAACAGTTTATTTTTAAATTATGCGATGTATAAAATTAAAAATCACATGTTTATAGTTATGAAATAAATGGTCTGTTTTTATTCATGCTATTTAAATCTAAAATGAAGCATTTATAATTATACATTTTGTGGAGACAGAGTTCTGCGGCTGGGGGCAGGGGAGAGGGAACAGGGTGCTGGGAGGGCAGAGGACGGAGTTCTGCAGCAGGGGACAGAGTGCCAGTGGGGACAGGTTTCTGCAGCTGGGGACAGGGTGCCAGTAAGGACAGGAATAGGGACAGAGTTCTGTAGCTGAGAACAGGAGAGTGGGAACAGAATTCTGTGGCTGCGGACAGGAGAGTGGGGACAGAGTTCTGTGGCTGGGGACAGGGCAGTGGGGACAGCGTTCGGGGAGTGGGGAGGGCAGTGGGGACAGTTCTGTAGCTGGGGACAGGAGAGTGGGGACAGAATTCTGTGGCTGGGGAGTGGGCACTAGGGAGTGGGGTGCCAGAGGAGGCAGAGAGTCCCCTGTATTTGCCTCCTCCCAGGATTCCACCGCCCCCAGCATGCACCTGCCCGGGGGCCAACCCCCCGGCGTAGGAAAACCCTGCGCGTGCCTGCCCCGGGGGCTGACCCCCCCCTCCCGGCGCAGGGAAGCCCTGCGTGCGCACGCCTGCCCCAGGGCCGACCCCGCAC